GATAGCAACATCTAAAGAAGGAGGAAAAGAACAAAGATCTTTTGAGTAGGTAGGATGCTCGTAGTTGCTTGCTCACAAATCAAAACCATTTTCACACTTACACTTTCAAAAAATACCTTCAAAAAACAAAAACCTCTTTGAACTATTTTCAAAACCAACACTTTGTATAAATTCTTATAGAGACAATAATCATTACAAAGTTTTCCAAAACAAAGGCGTTTTCAAAATATTTTTAAACTTGCACCAATCACTAACACATTTCAAACAATGCATTTCAAAGTGATCAAGCAACTAAGAGCTCGTAGATAACTACGGATGAAAATGGTGTTAACACCTCCCCTTTTCATAACCTACCCCTCGAACTCAAGAAAATATCTCGAAAAGTCTTTCATGTTCTTTTAACCCTTTCCTTTATTGGATAAAAGAAAAATCGGTGGCGACTCTTACTATCCACAACATTTGCGATAAAACGCAAAACTCCAAGTCAGTTCTCCCACCGTATCACACCAGCAATTTGATATTTAAGAGGAAACTTGATACACATCTCAAAAAGGCGACGATGGAATGTTCAACTCGAAAGGATCATTTTGATCTGACCCCATAAGAGCTCATACTACCAGAAAGATCGAAGGACACCGTGGTGATATTCACTCGGCAAAAAGAGGAACGAGTCAAATCTCGATATTATGCTAAAACGGTAAAGATATGTGTTTGATTATGTGGTGATACAAATTATTTTTGACTGAATATGAATGTTTAAACATGTTTTTGAACTTAAAGTTTTTGTTAATTATATTTGTTAAGCTAAGAAGTGGTGTATGTTTTTGAACTTAAAGTTTTTGTTAATTACATTTGTTAAGCTAAGCAGTGATGTATGTTTTTGAACTTAAGGTTTTTGTTAATTACATTTGTTTAAACATGTTTTTGAACTTAAGGTTTTTGTTAATTACATTTGTGACATTGATAAATTGTGTTCTTAGTATCTATGGCATCTACTTTTTTAACCTTTTCTAATCATTTTTCAAAATCATTGTTTTTTTTCTTCAGTTATTGTCAAGGTGCAACCATTATAATTTGGAGAATCATCTTTCTGATGGTGATGGGACCGGATTTATACACTCTATATCGAAAAGTTTATGACAATGGATCTGCACTTGAAAGTTTAAAATTATTACTATTAGTTACATTTTTCTGCTCCAGTAACCCTTCCTCAATCTCGATCTGTGATTGGAATCTCTGTTTAGGTAAACACCTAAATTGACTGCTTCGAATTCAATTAATTGCTTATTTTTTAAGTTATTTCTAAATTCGAAGAAATATGATTTATTGTAGTCATGTTGATTCGAGTTTTTTTTTTACAGATAGTTTATTATTTTGAGAATGATAAAGAATAATGAGGGGGAAATGGTAGATAAGAGCAGGATAGTTCCTGTGTCGATCATATTTGTGGTGCTATATGGTATTTCTTTCTATATGGGTGTACTATTTGATTCTGAGAATGATAGATTTGCATCGATTATCAATCAGAGATCCATTGATTCCCGAAAGGAATCGTCGTCATCGATAACATCGACGTCGATAAGTTCTTTGCAAATTAATTTTCCAATTTTCCTGAATGTAGCATTGACTATCAAGATTTTACTCCATGTGCAGACCCAAGGGTAATATGAATTTATTAGTTTTCCATTCTGTTATGTCATACGATTTGTAGAAGAAAGTTTATTAGGGTAATGTAATTTGATGGCTTAAACTTAAATTACAGATTTTGAATTGCCATTTATTTAATACAAACCTTCCAATAAAGTTTCACAATTTTCCTTGTTTCAATCTATGTTTGCAAACCATGAAAGAAAATTACTTACCAGATCTGTTGTATTCTTAATATTCCTAGATACCCGAGTAGGGGCAATTCCGAGGAGAGAACATTTTACTTGGGACACACCTTTGTGAGAGACACACCACTTGTCCATCTAAAACCTTAAGGTGATAGATGAGTGGGTTCTCCCACTTATAAATGCTCAATCTTCCCTTTTATAATCAATGTGAGACTTCTTCTTCACACTTGATTCTCAACAAATTTAAAGATAATGGTATGCAGCCATTCATTTTCCATTACATTTGATATACCAACTATTTTCAATACATATTCTTAAATATATTAAATAAAACATTATTTATGTTACGGCAGCTTGAATTGGATTGTATTATTGACCGGTGTCATGTGAAAGCTCTTTTTTTTTGTAGTTTAATATTTCAATGCACATGTTTAATATTTCCTATGCCCTATGTTTGCTTGATCTGTCCATTCTGTTGAGTTTTTAATATGTTTATAGAATAATATGATAGACTTTCATCTAGAACCTTTTCTTAGACTCAATTTTATTAAAAATATTAATTTTAGTTTTTACGGAGATCAACTATAGTTTTCCATATAGAAAAGATTAGTGACAAATACGTTAATATATTTGGATGTTAGTTTAAATAACAATAAAAAGTGAAATTGATAAAATTTTGTTGAAAATTTGAAGCCTATTTCTTTCTATAAGTTGACTATGATACTCTTTTTTTTATGTGACTATGATACTCTTTTAAAAATAGTGATTGTCAATTTTTTTTTGGTGCACAATATATTTAATTGCAATTTTGGTTAGTTAAAAAATTTAATTGTATTTATACAAGTAATTTATAGTCATATCAGTTAAAAATGATAGTAAATAAATCTCACAAGGTGAGTGATTTTATACTGCTGTGTTTTAAAATAAATTAAAATTAAATATTGGTTTTAAGACATTTGTATATAACTAAAACGGAAAAAAACTATTAATTAAAATATTTAAAATATTTCTTTTAGTCGCTCACATTCTTTTATAGCTAAAGACATTATTTATATAGAGGAATAACTTTGAATTTTGAAATCAAACGATATTCTATATATTCTTATTTAAACTGCCTCAATTTATTTAATCATTATAAAAAAACCACTTCAAATATCTCTTGAATTAAACAAATTGCTTTTAGAAGGTTTAACTATTAAAAATTCATAGCAAAATGTCTTATGAAAAATTTCATTACCAAAGCAATAATAAAAATGGATATTGTGGATATGATGAGAACCTTCTTTGCAAAGCAATAATAAAATAATTAATTATGTTTCAATCTCTCATCTACTAGACTTTATAATTATTTGGTTTATGAAACGGATTTTCATAATTCTAATTCTAATTTGTAAACACCAACAAATGTCTCAAAGACATAATTGAATTAAAGACTTATTTATAAACACTATAAAAAAGGCTTTCTTTTCAAGATCCCATCAACTTACTTAGAATTCATCAATTATATATATATATATATATATATATATATATATATATATATATATATATATATCACTTCAAAATATTTCTTAAAACAAAAGTAAAAACAAGCAAAAAAAAAAATCAAACATTTCTCTCTATAATATCATTGACTTTATATTATTCTCTTCTTCAATTCTTTAAATTGTCTCTCATACTTAAATAGATGATAATTTTGTAAAACAACTCATTATTTCTCTTTTCCAAGCAAAATTAACAAAATTAATTAATTGATTTATCACCTGAAAAAATATATTATTAATTTAAATATTTTTATAAATAATATTAAAATACAGGAAAATAAATATGGTCCGTTCAAATATTTTTATAAATGATATTATTTCTATATATGGAAAAAATTCACTACTAATTCAAATATTTTTATAAATGATATCAAAACATAAACATTTTTGCTTTATTATTTATTTAATTTATAAATAAATATGCGTACCATTTTTCTTAAATTAAAATTTAAAAGTTACGGTTCGTTCTCACATTTTTAATAGAATATTGATGTAATAATAAAAAAGTTTTAAAACTTAAATTTAACGGGAAGTTGTCATACATTTTAGTTTTGAAAAAATGGACTAATATCTAAAATATGTATAATAAATTTTTATTACACTCCGCCATATTATTTTGAAGATTGTTATCGAAGATTAGGTAATAAGTTTGATTTTAATCGTCACGTTGAATTTGCTTGCATATTTACATAGTTTACTAAATTTTGACGGGACAATACATTTGAGATTTGTAAAATTTGTAAATATGATCTAATAAGAAGGTATCCAAATTGAAATGTAACGAAGAATTGTTATACATTGTAGGTTGTAAAAAAATATAAATATGATATAATAAAAAAATTTTAAAACTGAAATTTGAGAGGGAGTTGTCATAAATCTTAGGTTTGTATAAATGAACTAATTTCTAAAATATGTTTAATAAAATTTTAGAATTAACTCATTTGAATTCAACTGTAATTTGTTAACTCATCTGAATACATGTGTAGATCTGAACGTATCTATGAGATACCAGCCGTAGACGGTTCATTTTAATATTCATCTTTTAAATTTTTCTTTTGCTAGTGTTTTATATAATTTAAGTTAGATAATCAAATATACAGTTTATTATAAATAAAGATGATCAATGTTTAAAAGTTAATATGTATTATTAGCTTATATTTATGACTCTGTGAGTGTTAACCATTTGAAAAATGAATTCAAATTTTATAAATAATAATTTGATAGACATGTGATATGAATCCAGAAGAACAAAAATATGTGCTATAACATTGATTTCTTACTAGTTCAACCATTAACTAACAATGTCAACACTATTATTTTCACAAATTGATATCACGTCAACCACAATGACATCAATTCTAACATCTAAATTCAACACATAACCAACTCAAAATTCAGATTTAATTCACACAGCTCAATAACAACATCAATTTGATTGTTCAACTTTGCATAAATAACAGAGTAATGACATAAGATAAATTGCTCAGATTAACAATAAATAGTCCAGAAATTAAGTTGAATAGAGATGGTGAAAGTGGTATTGAAGCTTACCCAAACCACAAAACAGTGGTGGTGAGATGTTGATGTAGAGAGGGAGTATGAGTTGAGGTTAACGGAAGTAATGTGGCTGAGCAGTCGCGGGTTGTGGAGCTTCTACAGAGGGTGGCTCGCTGGAGCTGAAGTGATGGGGGAGTGTCTCGCGAATAGAGGTGCTACGGTGTTGTTGTTGATTCAGAATCCGAGATTTTGAATAGTGGATTTTGGGTTGTTTGATTGTCTTCACGGATCTGGGGTTCTGGTGTAGTTTGAGAGAGGTAAGCTTGAGGTGTTTGATGAAGACGCGACATATTCGTTTTCTCTTTAAAATGTGGCAATAATGCCCTCAGTTAAAAAAGACTTCATCAACAGATGGGGTATTGTGTCTCCACTCTATTGGTCATGGCTTTGTTTTTAATGGAAAAAGACACCAGATTATTCAAAGAAAATGAGATATAATTTCTTTTTAGACCTTGTCTTCTTGCAGGTTTAAGGTGAAAACTCTAAAATATTCTTAAAATTCAGATGTGCATATTTGAATACACTAAATTTAAGTTTTTTAAAAGTTAGTTTAGATATGTATATTCGAAATAACTCAATATTTTATATTTAGAATTTGTTCGAATATATATCCGAAATAATCTAATATCTCAAATTTCTTATATATATATATATATATATATATATATATATATATATATATATATATATATATATATATATATATATTAGAACATGTCAATGTTCTAATATGTTGAATTTAAAAATTTCTCAACTCACACATTGTTAGAATATCTTTTTGTTTGAAAAAAACTATTTAGTCTCACATTGCTTATGTGGGAAATATTAACTACCTTACTTCACTATATAAGGAGTGCACATGTTTCATTCCAAATCACACTAAAAATTATTCTGTTAGTTTTTCCTTCCTCACTCTCATAACTCTGTGTCTCTTGAATTGTGAAAGTGTCATCTTCTTTCCCTTTTTTCCCACTTGTTGAATTTTCCGAGTATTTTCTTGAATTCTCTTTAGAGAATTATGTTAATTTCTTCTCATTTAAGTTGAGAAATTTTTAAGTTTAATCTTTTGATTTCTCTTTGGAGAATTATTTGAATTTCTCTTTGTTGGAGAAATTATTATGAGTGATCAAATGACCATTATTCATTTCTCTTTGGAGAATTATTTGAGTTTCTTTTTGTTTGAAAAATTATTATGACTGGTCTTTGTACCAGATACTACGAGTGGTGTTGACACCATATTTAAATGGTCTTGTACCATCAGAGGGTATATTTCTAGACCGGTTATCTACCATGCAAATAGTAATCGTACAGTATAGAACTTGACTGTTTTATTCTGAAAGCGGCGTACATAACAAGATGGAGAAAGAAATTCTCATATTTGTATTTTTTTATATTATAAACAAAAGATATTTATATTAGAATCAAAAATTGAATATTATTAATAATTAATAATATTAAAATAGCACTTTAAATATTAAATGAATAGATTCTTGTAAAAAAATGATGAATAATTTATAAATTATAGAGATCATCTATATTAAATACATATATATCGCATAAGAAATTTGAGATATTGAGTTATTTCGGATATACATATCCGAACGAACCCCTAAAAATGAAATATTGAGTTATTTCTAATATACATATCCGAAATAATCTAAATATTAAATTATTGAATTATTTCGAATATGCGTATCCGAACGAACTTCTAAAAAACTTAAGTTTAGTACGTTTAGATATGCACGTCCGAATTTTGAGAATATTTTAAATTTTTCATCAGAGACCTACAAAGAGATAGTAAGGTATAAAAAGAAATTTTCTTTATATTTTTACTATAAAAATATAATATATTTTCATGATTTATCCTGTGCATCACACGGATAGAAGTACTAGAAATTTTTTTAGTGGTAGCAAAATCATAAAAATGACTAAAAGCACAAAAATAATTAAATTTTAAAATAAAATCAAGGCTGGCCCAAAAATTTGAAGGACTTGTTCAAATCTTAAAAATAGTATCGAAAAATAAAATACAAAAAATTAAAAAGAAGTTTTTTATTTTTTTAAACTATAAATAATATTAAAATGAATAAATATTGGTAAATATTCCAACTGAAATTTAACACGTATAAGTATTTTTGATATTTTGTTTCTTATAGAATTTGTCTATAAATAAAGTTTTTGTAACTAGATTAATCTTAATGTGTGTTAAATTACTAATGGATAAATAATTATATTTACAATTTTAAATTTGAAAAATGGTTTTACAATTATAAGACTGTCAAGATTTTAAGACACTATTTTAAAGATCTAATTGAATTTGTACATACAGATTTTAATACTCACTCCTGTTAATATACATTTTTAATAATATATTAATATTTCTTATTTAGAAAAAATACTTATAGATTTTACTAAAAGTTAATTGGGATCCTAAACCTTTTAGATTCAACAATTGTTGGTATAAACATGAAGACTTCAAAAGTTTTATTCTGAATGAATGGACTGAGGCTCAACTCAACATAGAGGGGAGATTATAGATTGTATGAGAAATTCAAAAGTCTGAAGATGCAGTTAAAGTGGTGGAATTGTGAGATATTTGGTTGGATTGACTTAAAGGTGGATAGGGGAGTATCGAACTTAAACAAACTAGACAGAGAGATTATGGAGAATTATGGGATAAATATTCAAACTTTGGGGAAATAGAGGAGTATTGTGACGAAAAGTATCTGGGATAATTTGGATATTAAGGAGAGTATGCTTTGTTTGAAATCTCGACAACAATGGTTGGCGGGGGAGATATTAATTCGAGATACTTTCAAAAGCTTATGAAGTGTAGAACCAGAACAAACTCGATTTCTCTACTTATAGGTAATAATGGCGAAGTGGAAGGAACAAAGAAAGTTAAGGAGGGTATCAAAGATCATTATGAGAACTCACTACGCCAAAAACAAGTTTTAGCAGCGCCTCTACTAAAGCGCTTATTGAAAAAGCGCTGCCATAGCCTTCACAAAAAACAAAATTAAAAAAAAGGGAAACCTACGAAGGCGCTTTTTTAAAAGCGCTGGCATAGGGTTACCTACGAAAGCGCTTTTCAGAAAGCGCTTTCATAGGTATTTGAAATATCTAACCTACGAAAGCGCTTTTGAAAAGCGCTCTTATAGGGAACCCTATGCCAGCGCTTTTGAAAAGCGCTTTGATAGGGGGACCTACGAAAGCGCTTTTTATCTCAGAAGCGCTCTTATAGGGTACCCTATGCCAGCGCTTTTTAAAAGCGCTTTGGTAGGTTATTTTTATATTAAAATTAAAAATCCCTAAATCTGTTCTTTAGTCTTCCTCATTTTCTTTCGTTCAGAGCTTCCTCATTGCCGTCGCCGCCGTTCGTCTTAAGCTTTTCAGCCTCCGTTGGTCACCCCCACCGTCTACACCCTTTCCAACCATTTCCGGTATCTTAATTCCGCTCCATTTCCGGTGAGATTTTAAAACCGTTACTCATTTTTATAAATTATTTAATCACCCAAACCCCGATGCTGTAAGATAGGTTTGTGAAATTTTTATATCATGAACAGGGAAGTTATATTTCTAGTCAATCATCAGTTAGTAAAATTTGTGGTCTCACTTTATGTTAACGTAGCATTTGAAACATTCCATTAATGTAATATAGAAAATTTGCAGCGGCTGTTTTAGTTTTGAAGAGTTCGTTTAATTTGACACTCTATAATAAAATAGTCTGTGTGTGTTTCCTGTATTGTTATGCTAAATCAATTATCTGATGCTGTTAATCACTTTCAACACACTTGTTTTGTGATTTCAGGCGACAACCACAACCACCACTACCGCCATTTAACCTGTACAAGTTGAAGTGTGATAAAGAGCCCCTGAACTCTAGGTAATTCATCCATGTCAACTTTTGTTAGTTCACAAACAATAGGCATCCTAAATTTTTCTGGAGTAAATTGTATTTATACTGTAATGTCAAGATTTGCTGATACACTAGTGGGATGCCATTGTTGGCATTTTCTTTTATATCTTGTTATTCTATATTATTAAGGTGGTCATAATACAAACTTTGCAGTATTTACTTTTGCTATATTTCCTTATTATTATATAGCTGTATAAGTTTTAAGTATAGATACTTCCATCTAATCTCAGGCTTGGACCGCCAGACTTTAACCCTCAAACACCAAATTGCTCTGAGGAAACTCTCACCAAAGAATATTTGCAATCTGGATATAGAGACACAGTTGAGGGGCTTGAGGTACATCATTAAATTTTATGTGTTTATATCAAATAGATGATGTAAAATGGCAATACAGCATTTATTCAATTATTCATTTTTGGTCTGTTCTGTTCTTGAGTATGTTAACCTTTGCGTCGTCCTTCCAGTATTGTGTTTGTATTGTGATAATGTGATAATTTTTTTTAGTTTGGTGTCTTAGAAGTTGAAATTTTGTAAACTTTAATTATTAGTTACATAAGACATTAATAGAAAAATGGTAGTGTTTATTTTTTAATTTGTTAGGAGTAGAAGGAATTTGTTTATATTAGAGGTGGTTATATTTTTAATGCACTATAATGTAGTGGAATTGGAATTTAGAGAATTGGTACTTACTAATATGTGTAAGATTGGAACTTAGATAATTTTGAGATTTTGTTGTGTTGTGTTAATTTATTTAATTGATTATGCATCACAAAAGTGATAATGAAGAGTAGAAAAAATGATTCTTTTTTCAATAGGAAAGAAATAGATGAATTTGAAAACTTATGGTTCAAGGATTATGAATTTGAAAACACTCCAAAGAAAGATTATATACTTCTAGCATGAAATGAAACAGTCATGACAAACTTCTTGAAGATTATTTATGATCCAATTGCTAATTGAAGTGATGATATTTTAGGTGTTACTTAAGTGAATCTTCAAATGTTACTTCAGTTTCTATTAGAGTGTTGCTTGAAGATTTTACCTCTTGGTTTTAATGTGAAAGTGAGACAAATATGATCGATCACATGGATAATACAAAGCATGTAATAGTTTTGAAAATGACATGATATATTTTAATAATCTGATAGTAAGATGTAATAGTTTTGAAAATGTGATGCACCCTGATGCCTAATGTCAAATTGGAGCAATATTGTATTTAAAATTCTAGTTTTGAAAATGTGATGCACCCTGATGCCTAATCTCATTTATCCTGCATTTATGATTTGTTTTTCTTCTCTCTCTGAACCTTAGTATGAATTTTGATTGAATCACAAGGAGAAAGAATTAGCTGCTGTTAAGATAAATGCAGCAGATGTTGATATAATTGCAAACGAACTAGAGGTAACTTCTTCAACATGTACAGAAATCTATCTAGTAAGCTTACATTCCAATTAATTAACATACTTTTCTTATACAACAGTTGGACAAAAAGGTGGCTGAAAGAACCTTGCGTTGCTGCCATTCGTCATTTGCTTACTAGTATGGTGGAAACAAATAAGGGAATGTGATCTGTATTGTCAATGAAAATGTTTTGTTTTTAGTTACTCCTAAGTTTAACATGTTGTTTAAATTCAAATCATGCAGCGGATAGTTCAACGATTTAATATCGATTGTGGTAGGAAAAAGCTGTGAAACTTTCTCCGATTGAAGAAATTTGAACTGTCCTTGATCGTAGTGTACGCGGGACGCTCTCAACATTTTCAAAGGTTTCTATCCTATTCTTGAACTGACTTGAATAACTGATTGTTTTTACTTTTATTTTCCGGCTCAGTGTGAATTTCTAATGATTATAGTTGAGTGGAATTCATGAGCTGCGGTTGTGTTTTTGTTTATATCCGACTTCACTAGTTAGTAATTAGTTATGAGTTGTTTAGCACATGCTTGAACTGACTTTGATTACCTGATATGTTGAATTTGAATCACTAATTACATCCTAACCCCCCAAAAACTTTCTATCATTGTTATTTTTACTTTATATTTTTTTATGTTCAAAACATTTTTCAAACAAAGCTCTTGTTTGCTTAGAATAGTAATTATTACATATAAATTGTATTATCATCTTTCCTCGTGGACTCATAATTTTAGTCATTGTATTTTGATATTTGTTGACACATCTACTACACATACAATAAAAATTTTAAACAAGACTATCAAAAATTAAGTTCAAACTTAAAACATCTTTTTATTTAAAAGAGATTTCTTACAATTTTAATTTCATATATTCATGATGTCAATTTCGTTTATCGTTAAGTGAGGTACTTACTAACTTTGTGAATTGAATTCGCCATAGGGGTTACTTGTGAAGAGTGAAAGTTTGACCGTTTTTGTTTAGCTTAATTAAGACATGGATAAGACATGGATGAATTCAAACCGATTGTCGAAAGAGTACGAGAAAGGGGTATGGGAATTTGTTGAGTTTGCGGTTGCGCACTCCAAAGACCCGCTTCGAATGCCGTGTCCTTGCTTGGGTTGCTGTTATGCAGGGGGTAAGGTTGACGGGAATCAGTTGGGATCTCATTTACTACGGTTTGGAATTGATAGAAGTTATACATGTTGGAAAATGCATGGTGAGAAAAGTACCGGGAATGCTGAGTCGAGTTGTAATAGGAAGTATGCTTCAAACGACGATTGCACAGACACATACGATTGTGATCGAGTCGAAGAGATTGCAGAAGCGCTTGAAGAAGATCTTGCGGATTGTCCCAAAATGTTTGAGAGGTTGGTAAGCGATGCAGAGAAACCGTTGTATGTTGGTTGTTCAAAATTCACAAGATTGTCTGCGGTGTTAAAGTTGTACAACTTAAAGGCGGACAATGGATGGTCGGATAAAAGTTTCACAGAGTTATTAGCCCTTATGAAAGATATGCTACCAGAGGATAATGTTCTTCCCAATCGAACGTATGAAGCCAGAAAGATGTTGTCTTCTATTGGAATGAGCTATGATAAGATACATGCATGTCCAAACGATTGCGTTTTGTTTCGAAACGAGTATGCAGCGTTGAATGAGTGTCCTAAATGTGGTGCCCCTCGATATAAGAAAAAGTTGTCTCCTGCTAAAGTCTTATGGTATTTTCCTATAATTCCGAGATTTAGACGCATGTATCGTAGTGAGACCGATTCAAGACACTTGACTTGGCATGCAGATGAAAGAATTATTGATGGAAAGTTGCGACATCCGGCAGACTCACCACAATGGAGTAAAGTTGATACTGAATATCCTGAATTTGGAAAAGAAGCAAGAAACCTTCGGTTGTCATTGTCTACTGATGGAATGAACCCGCATGGTATTCAAAGTATCTCGCATAGCACATGGCCTGTGATTCTTATGATTTATAACTTACCTCCGTGGCTATGTATGAAGCGTAAGTACATGATGTTATCTATGCTAATTTTTGGGCCTAAACAACCAGGGAATGACATAGACGTATACTTGGCACCCTTAATCGAAGATTTAAAGTTTTTGTGGGAGAGAGGTGTGGAGGTTTACGATGGGTATAGGAAAGAAAGTTTCAACTTGAGGGCGATGTTGTTTGGAACAATTAATGATTTTCCAGCATACGGAAATCTATCCGGGTACAACAACAAGGGTCAAAAGGCGTGTCCTGTTTGTGAAGATGAAACCGATACGACACGATTGGCGCTTTGTCAGAAGAATGTCTTTCTCGGCCATCGTAGATTCTTAAATTCTAATCATCACTACCGTGGGTGGAGAAAAGCATTCAATGGAGAGGCCGAACATCGTACAGCCCCGCCTTTTTTGTCAGGTGATCAAATTTTTGAAAAGGTGAAAGATGTGAGCACTCAGTTTGGCAAGCCTTTTGCACATTCAATTGTCAAGGGTGGGTGGAAGAAGAAGTCAATTTTCTTTGAACTTCCATATTGGAAGTCGTTGTACGTAAGACATTTCCTGGATGTTATGCATATTGAAAAAAATGTATTTGACAGCGTTATAGGTACGCTACTCAATATACAAGGAAAGTCTAAGGATGGCGTTAACATAAGGAATGACATGGTAAACATGGGGATGAGAACTGAATTGGGGCCCGTGACGAAAGGAAGACGAACATATCTGCCACCTGCTGTTTACACTCTATCTAGAAAGGAGAAGAAAACATTGTGTAAGTTCCTCAGTGAAGTAAAAGTTCCAGAAGGCTACTCTTCAGATATTAGAAGACTTGTGTCCATGAAAGACCTCAAGTTAAAGAGTTTGAAGACGCATGATTGCCATGTTATAATGGAACATTTTTTACCAATAGGTATACGTTCTATTCTGCCAGAAAAAGTAAGAAGCGCAATAACTAAGCTGTGTTTCTTCTTCAGGTCTATTTGCAGTAAGGTGGTCGATCCCGCGATCTTACCAACATTGCAAAATGAGATAGTTGTTACTTTATGTGATCTTGAAATGTATTTTCCTCCCTCGTTTTTTGACATAATGGTTCATCTAGTCGTTCATCTTGTGAAAGAGACACAACTGTGCGGACCAGCTTATATGAGATGGATGTACCCTGCTGAACGTTATATGAAAATATTAAAAGGGTACGTGAAAAACAGAAGTCGACCAGAGGGTTGTATTGCCGAGCGATACGTTGCTGAAGAAGCGGTTGAGTTTTGTACTGAATATCTGTCAAATGTTCAATCAATTGGACTACCCAAATCTCATATTGTCGAAAAAAAAGAAGGAAAAAGGCTAATTGGAAATAAAGTTGTGACAGTATCAATGGTCGAACGGGATCAAGTGCACTTGTATGTTCTGCACAATGAGATTGAGGTTGAGCCGTTTGTTGAAATGCACAAAGTTGTTCTCCGAGATTTAAATCCAAATAGAAATGAGAACTGGATAGTACGAGAGCACAATCGAAGTTTCATACCGTGGTTTAGAGATCATATTTATTCAAAGTATCGTTCAGATCCTGCTTCAGTAACAGAAAGGTTGAGATGTTTAGCCTATGGTCCATCTGTAATTGTGCTTTCTTATAGCGCATACGCAATTAATGGATACACATTTTATACCAAAGAACAGGATGATAAAAGTACTATGCAAAATAGTGGTGTTACCTTGGTAGCTGAAGCTATGCACATATCAAGTGCGAATGACTTAAATCCGAAATTTGCAAATTTGTCATATTTTGGGGTTATCGAGCGCATTTTGGTGTTTGATTACGCGAAGTTTCAGATTCCTGTATTTGGTTGCAAGTGGGTTGAAAATAATAGTGGCGTACGAATGGATAAGTCAGGATTTTTGCAAGTGGATCTCAATAGGGTAGGGTACAAAGATGAGCCTTTCATTCTAGCCTCTCAAGCTAAACAAGTGTTCTATGTCAATGATCCGACAAGTACGAAATGGTCTATAGTGCTTTTATCTAACAAAATAGTTGATGAAAAAATTGAAGATCAAGGTGATATTGGTGTTGGCATTGAATCTTGTACAAGAAACGATCAAAATGAGAATGAATCTTGTATTAGAAATGATCATAATGAGGGTATTTGGATCAATCCAACCGTCCGCATTGTTAAGAGACTCGTAGTACACAATCCTACCAAGAAAAGAAAGAGACGTTAGTGATAAAGTTAGTGTTAATAGTGTACTAATGTTACTTCAGTTTCTATTAGAGTGTTGCTTGAAGATTTTACCTCTTGGTTTTAATGTGAAAGTGAGACAAATATGATCGATCACATGGATAATACAAAGCATGTAATAGTTTTGAAAATGACATGATATATTTTAATAATCTGATAGTAAGATGTAATAGTTTTGAAAATGTGATGCACCCTGATGCCTAATGTCAAATTGGAGCAATATTGTATTTAAAATTCTAGTGTAATGTTTAATGTTTTGCTTTTCGGTGTCAAGGTGATGAGTCAAGGTGTAGCAGATTTGTGTTGAAAGTTTTTGTGCATTTTTTGAAAAATGGTGATAAATGTTGATGATATATTTGGTCTTATTTAAGTGAATCTTTAAATGTTACTTCAATTATTATAAGAGTGTTGAAACTCTTTTCTGTTGTTCTGGTGTATATGTTGAAATATAATTTTTGTATTACTAATAGAAATATCAAGTAAAATATATGTGTAGTTCTGAAGTTTTAATTTTTACATAAGTGAAATTAAAAAGACCCGGGAATTTATTATGTATATAAAAATTGAAAGCTCCATTGTCACTCTCATTTAGTGTTAATAGTGTACTAATGTGCTTTAGTTTGTTTGATACAGGTTCAATGGCTCCAGATAGAGATGCTCCACCTGAAAACCCACCTGAAAACTCACAAGAAAACTCACAAGAAAGAGTTGCTTCGGATACAAATGCTCCACCTGATACTGAAGCAAAAGAGGTTGCACGAGGCATCACTATTATGAAGGGAATCATTCGACATAGAGACCAAGGATTAGTATACCGATTGGAATGGAATTCTGATAAACAACCAATTGGTCCTAATTCTGCAAAGTTGACAAGTTATATTGGTACACTTGTCCGTATGCATA